GAGCCCCACTCCAGCCTCTGTGCACAGTCCCGGACCCCCTCGAGCTGGGTGGAGATGAGAAGAGACCTGACAGAGCTGGGCCATGGGGGACAGGTCAACAACTCTGGTGGTGCCTTGAATTAAAGAGAGCAACAGGTACCCCACCCCTGCAGGGGGCCCGGGAGGACAGAAGGACTGACTTCTGGGACACTGAGCCTCTCCCACAGGATGGGATGACAGGAAAGACAGAAGGCAGGAAGGTGAGGGGACAGGAGCGTGGGCCCTGGGAGTGGTCAGGTCTGAGCAGCTTCCTGGCTAAGTGACCCTGTATGATCTGTCGCAGAATCTCTCATGGTGTGTGGAGACGCCAGGGGAGTGGGGGACATTGTCCCAGTATCATTTGATGCTAATCAGTACTGTGAAATTATGTCACCCTTCCCCAGACATGGCGGGAAGTGAGGGCAGCAAACATAGGAGGGGAGGGAGAGGGCGGCTGCTGGGGCTCCAACTCTGCTGGCCCTGAGGATACTGTGGACGAGGCCTGGCTCTTGATGGACTCCTAGGGCCATTAGGGGATCAGAAGGTGAGATGTGCCCTCTCACCATCTTCCCCTCCCCCATCAGGCCCCAAAAGCCACCCCCCCACAGGGTCTAAGGATTCCCAGCTGGCCTGTAGTTCCCCTTCCTCTCACATGGTCCCCTGCTGGGCCCTCTGGGACTCAGTGGGGGTGAGGGAGGAATGTTGGGATCACTCAGGGGCTGTGGGAGACTAGAGGAAATCTGGTATGGAGGTCAGACTCCAGGGGTTTCTGAGCCCCTGACCTTCTTTCCAGCTTCAGTGAGGAGAGATGTAGGCAGTGACAAAGCCTGCCCTGGAGCTCTGTCCTGGTGACAGGAGGGCCTGGTGGGCCCCAGAAGGAGAGGGCCCACCTCCCATGGAGGTAGCAGGGGAGGGTCAGGCAAGTCAGAGGGCCACACGCTACAGCTCTTCTCTGGAAGACCTCACAGGAACAGGAGAGCTGGCCTGTGGCCATTCTCAAAGCTCTGGGGCTCCCACACCCCAGGGCCAACAGAACTGTAGTGTTGGGCTGGGAAGGTGGCTCGGTGGTAGAGCGCTTGCCTTGCATGTATGAGGCCCTGGGTTCAATTCCTCAACACCACATAAGCAGAAAAAGCCAGAAGTGACGCTGTGGCTCAAGTAGTAGAGCACTTGCCTTGAGCTGAAGAGCTGAGGGACAGCACCCAGGCCCAGAGTTCAGGCCCCATGACTGGAAAAAAAAAAAAAAAAAGAACTGTAGTGTCAACTTGTGCCACTTCCTACCCCCCTCAAAAAAAAACCCTCCAGTGGGCAAGGCCTCAAACCTGCTTAGACCTGACCCCCATGCACCCCTGGGCTGTTCCATCCATGTCTAGATGCACCCCTGGTCCTGTGCTGGTGGGGAGGGTGGTCCTGTCATCTACAGCCATTGCCCCAGTCCAGGGAGAGCCACCAAGTCCCAGGGACCCCCTCACAGAAGAGTCATGTGCTTATCCAGGGCCTACAAGGAAAATGGATCCAACCCTAGACTCCATCCCTTTACCTGAGCCTGCTGGAAACCAAGCCATTCAAGAGAGAGAAACTGAAGGCTGGGCGCTGGTAGCTCACACTTGTAATCCTAGCTATTTAGGAAGCTGAGATCTGAGAATCATGTATCTTAGCTAACCCAGATAGGAAAGTCCATGAGACTTATCTCTAATTAACCAGCAAAAAGCTGGAAGTGGACCTATGGCTCAAGTGATAGAATGCCAGCCTTGAGGGAAAAAGCTAAAGGACAGTACCTAAGCCCTAAGTTCAAGCCCCAGTACCAACACACATACACACACACTGTAGGTCCCTAAAGATCTCAAACTTGTAGCCCACCATGAGTACTGTCAGTCAGCCCTTGGGCTGTCGAGACAGCTCTGACTCACCGTATCCAACCCCAGAAGCCCCAGCTTCTTTCCTTGTCCCAAGAGTCCCTGGAGCAATCAGAGAGGAAGGAGGAGAGGGCAGAGTCCTCAAGTAGACCTAGACTGAGCATCTAAGAGCTGAGATTACCAGGCAGTGGTGGCTCACACCTGTAATCCTAGCTACTCAGGAGGCTGAGTTCTGAGGATTGAGGTTCAAAGCCAGCCAATAAACCACTAGAAAACCAGAAGTGGTGCTGTGGCTCAAGCGCAGAGTACTAGCCTTGAACTGAAGAGCTGAGGACAGTGCCCAGGCCCAGAGTTCAAGCCCCGCAACTGACCAAAAAAAAAGAGCTGAGATTACAGGCCTGAACAGCCAGCCCAGAAGTGGAACTTGACACCTAAACACAAACAGTGATGGTCAAATGTGATCAGACAGAATCTAGCAGAGCTGCCTAATCTGTCACAGGATGGTGAGGAACAGGCTGAAGGCAAGGACGGAAGAGAAATCGTCATTTCATTATTTACAACACTGCTGAACTCATTCAGCTCAGGGATGAATTCAGCCTTCACATGTCATCATTTGGCTAGGGATTTCTTTTTTTAGTTTTTTTGAAAATTTTTATTTAAAAAAAAAACACAAAACACAGACTTACTCCACTTCAATATGTGGTCTGTTGCATTTTCTAGTTTGTTCAATGCTTTAAAGCTCATTGATGCCTCTGCTTTCAATTGTACATGGGCCTGAAGCATCCCAGCTTTTGGCAAGCAGGCAGGAGACTCAACAAGAATCAAAATAGGAATAAGGCAGACTAAATGCAGGGCACATCTGTAAACATATTATACATTGAAAAATTACAATATATCAGTAAAAGTGATACTGTTTACAGGTGAAATGAAGACTATCTGAAACTGGCCTACCACAAGTTTCTGAACCTGGACTGATTTTATATATATATATATATATTTAAAAGTTTTGTTTACATCAAGTGGAATTGGCAATCCATGCTTATACTTTTTTTAAAATCTAATCAGGGCAGAAATCCAGACTAAAAAGATATTTTACCTATGTTCAGTCCAATAACTTCTTTTGTAAATTACTTGTTAAAAGTCTCAGTCAACAAGAAAACTCATTCATACTACAATCGCTCAAAAATTAGACATTTCTTAAGCAAAATGATAGAGCAAAAAATAGTTACTTTCTCTCCAAATATGAAGGGATCCAGTCTATTTTTATTAGAAGACTACAACTCTCTCTATATAAATACCCTGCTGTTTTACCTGTATTTGACATACATGGATATACTAATTTCTCTGCATGTATGTGTGTGATGTGATGCTATGTCAGGCCAGAAAACTTATTATATCACCAACATCACCAATCTTAGAATTGGACCCTTAGTTTTTCTTTTTTTTTTTGTCAGTTGTGGGGCTTGAACTCTGGGCCTGGGCGCTGTCCCTCAGCTCTTCAGCTCAAGGCGAGCGCTCTACCACTTGAGCTACAGCGCCACTTCCGGTTTTTTTTCTGGTGGTTTTATTGGAGATAGGAGTCTCATGGTCTCTCCTGCCCGGGCTGGCTTTGAACCGCGATCCTCAGATCTCAGCCTCCTGAGTAGCTAGGATTACAGGTGTGAGCCACCAGCGCCCAGCTGACCCTTAGTTTTTCTGCACACACACACACACACACACACACACACACACACACACACACACAATTTATTTTTAGCATGCTATACAACAGGATGGCAATGTGATGATAAGACAGGGCTAATGGCTCTTCTCTGCCCAAAATAAAATTTCCAAAATTTCACACTATTTTCCTTAAAAACCCATTTTGCTCTAATAATAAAATACATTTATTAAGATATAATTCAAAGCTAATAAGCTTAGAAGTATAATTTGCATGAAAGCAGCTTCTATAAGCAGGGTTTATTACCTCCTTACTGGCTAAAAACATGAGAAGTTTTCCTGGGCTCTTTTCCTCTCCTTTTAGATTTTGCTCAGAAATTAAAGAGAATTTAAAGAAATGTAACGTTGATGAAAAACAAGAAACTGCACATTTAGTGTTAGAGACAGAGAGCAAGTCTGGAGAACCTACAATTGAAAAGCAGAATATATGTTTGCTCCCAGTTACACAATTACATTAAAATATGGGCACAGGAGTACTTTTTCCATATCGAAGCTAATTGCTTGTTCTGCAACTGTTCTTTAAATGGTACTCAATATATTCTTCAGTTACCAAAGTTTAACATGTAACCAAAGCTAGTTAACTATATATCCATCAACTATTCCAGAATTGTAGAACTTGTATGCCCTCCCCTATCCTCCCCTACCACCCCCAAAAAAAAAAGAAAATGAAAGATTTCTCCAACACCCCACAGAGGCTGCTTAACTTCTGGCAAGAAATGCAAATTATATTTGCTAAAAAAATATATATATATACCCTGCAAACTTCAAGGCATTTATCCAGCATTCTAGCAGAACTTAAAAGTAAAACCAAAAGATCAGGGAGAAGTAGGGGAAAATGTTGAATCATTGTTAAAGAATATTTTGAGTTTACCAATAGTTTTTGTTTGTTTGTTTTTTGGTCAGTTGTGGGGCCTGAACTCGAGCTCTTCAGCTCAAGGCCAGCACTCTACCACTTGAGCCACAGTGCCACTTCTGCCTTTTTCTGCTTATGTGGTGTTGAGGACTTGAATCCCGGGCCTCATGCATGTGAGGCAAGCACTCTACCACTGAGCCACCTTCCCAATCCCTACCAATAGTTTTAAACCATGGATTCTTCATGCCAACCTGGGTTTCTACATGGGTTGTTTTCCTGCATCCTAGACCTGATGCTAGAGCTGTCACTCAGCATGGGGTTTTAATTCTCACTTTGCCACAGACCTCACTTCTCATTACATCTCCAACATGAATGCCAGCTTGCCATTTGTGTTCTCAGTTGCCTGGCATCAGCTGTTGGCATTTTCCCTCACCCAGGGTCCTCTTCTCTTTCCTGAGACACTGGCATCCTTGATGTTTTCAATAACACAAGAAACATCTCTGGAGGAAATGCTCCAAACGTTTGTTAGGCAAAGAAAACTGATTTTTATTTTCCCTCTTGACAATCTTCTACAGTTTCCAGATTCTCTACAATAAACACATACTCCTTTTTAATATCAAAAGACAAATGAGTGCTGAGCATGGTGGTCAACACCTATAATCCCAGCTCTCAGAAGGCAGAGGCAAGAGGGATCAGCCTGAGGCTCTATAGCTCTGTTTCCCCTCTCCCCCCACCAAAAAAAAAAACCACATCAAAATAAGATGAACAAACTGACACTTAAAAAGAACAGTCTTCATCTTGAAGGCTGAGGTCAAGATGAAATGCTGCCTCTTCCAGGAAGATTTCCTAAATGCCCATCAAAGAGTATTGGCTCCTACCTTGTACCTATAGCCCCAGGGCCTTGTATTCTAAGCTGAGTTTGCAGGAAGAGCCCACCAGGTCTGTCTATCTGTGTCCCTGCCACCCTAACACAGGCTGGTGAGTGGTGAATAAGTGTTGGGCAGAGTCCCCCATGACAGGCAGCCATCTGCAGGGATTTGAAGACCACCTTATAGGTGAGAAGTCTGGCTCAAACTAGGGTCAGCAGAAGGAATGTGCCAGTCTTCTAGAGTGCCAGGACTGTCCCATAGTTCTTGCCACAGGAGGGCTCCTCTGAGGGGTGATCAAGGACAGCACTGACACACAGGCCACATGGCCCCGCCCAGGTGTCCATACGAGAGACATCCAAAGCTCATGAAGCCACGGTAGTTTACAGCAGGCACCAGGAGGCTGGGTGGGAATAGCTTCCCAAAGTAACAGCATTGGAACTGGAGGCCCCAGGCTGTGGGCAGAGGGTAGGGGAAGCTCAGGAGGGGAGCAGGGAAAAAAGGGGCTCTGGGAATCTGGTGGAGGGAGAGGCTCTGGGCTCTGAGGTAGCCTTTGAAGGAGGGCCTCACCACCTGCAGGACTCCAGCCCAACTCTCTGTCCAGCTCTACATGTCCTTGCTGCTGCCCAAATTAAAAGGACCAGGGCTGCAGAATGCTGTGTGGTGACTGGTTCAGAGTAGTAACAGCCTGGGTAGCTGTGTCTGGGCATCTAACATCCAAGCCTGGCCCTGATGCTGTGGAGTCAGCTGAGCTCAGGGAAGTCAGGAGAAACAAGGCCTGAGTCCTAGGTTTGATCAGTCGTGGGGACATCCTTCCCACCAGCATGGCAGCATAGTCCTGAATCCTTGGAAGTTGGAACTGGGAGCTGAGTGGTCCTCAAGGCCAGGTGGGCATCTGGTTACCATGGCAACTGCTCCATCCATCCATTCATCCATCCAGGGAACAGGGCCTTCTCCAGTCTGCCACTGCCCAGTGGTAGGCTGAGCCCAGCGGTGGCTGTAGACAATGGGGGAGCCATGTCTCTGCCCTCACACAGGGTGGACGCTGGGGTGTTTAGGCGCGGCTGGACGAGGTGCTGCCGGAGCTGATGGGGAGCCGGGCGCTGTCTGAGCTGTTTTTCAGAGGAGAAGGACCTCCCCGGGCCTGCAGCCGCATGGACCAGTACCAGAGGAAGATGAGGAAGCCTGCAAGCAGGAGAGAGAGGCGGGAGTGAACAGGCATGCAGCCACCTGGCCCTCCCTACTCCAACTCCCAGTCACCTCACCAACACAGGCCCAACATACTTCTGGCTCAGGCACTAGACAGTGCTGCTGGGATTTATTTTTTAATATAATGGGGTTTGAACCCGAACCTTGTACTTGCTAGGCAGATGCTCTACTACTTGAGTCATGCCCTAGTGCTGCTGATTTATTGCATTCAGTGTGTGTGTGTGTGTGTGTGTGTGTGTGTGTGTGTGTGTGTGTGTGTGTGTGTGAGTGTGTGTGTGTGTGTGTGTGCGTACATCACTTAAGATCCTCAGCTTTAGAAGATTAAGACTTTAAATTTGAGCTGGGTGCAGGTGGCTCATGTCTCTAATCCTAGCTATTCTGAGGAGCGTGGTTCAAAGCCTTCAAGAAAGTATGTGATTATCTCCAATTAACCACCAAAAAGCCGGAAGTAGAGCTGTGGCTCAAGTAGTAGTGCATTAGCCATGAGCTATAAAAAGCTCAGGGTAAACACAAAAAATGAAAAGCTCAAGGACAGTGCTCAGGCCCTGAGTTCAAGTCCCAAGCCTGGCAAATAAACAAAAACAGCGATCCTTGTAGAAAGCTGAGACCCCATGTAAACTCCTGGCCTGGCCACACAACCAGCCTACAAATCTGCACAGCCCACATGGAAGCATATGTGTACTTGTACATGTCTGAATGTGGGGATACACGTATGATCCTTTGGGCCTCAAACCAAGATCCTTCCCTCTGCCCTGCCTCTCACTGGCTACCCTGTAGCCACACACTTCCTCCCAACACATAAGTCATTCTGACCTCAGAGCCTTTGCTCTTGCCTTCTCTGTAGGGCCCACCCTGACATCCCTACTGAGATTGCCTGGTGGCTGTGAGCTGGCTTTGTGCATGATCAGTCTCTCTGCCCCCCCCCCCCCATGAGCTCAGGACTGTAACCCCAGGGACAGCACAGGACCTGCAATGCAGGTGCTCCATAGAACTGAGGCCTGGAGGGTGCGCCCAGGTCTGGATTAGGAAGACTGAGCCCAGAGAAGGGAAACCCCAGGCTTTCCTACACCATCGCCAGGGGCGGCTCTTCCCATGCTTACCTTGGAAGGAGGTGATGATGCTGAAGAGATAGAGAACCACAAGTTGGAAGGTGCCAGAAGCAAAGGAGAAGAAGACCAAGGCCCAGGGCAGGCCAAGGACCAGGCTGAGGCCCAGCAGGGTCAGCACGTGGGGCCACTTCTGGTTGTGTGGCCGCAGCCGCAGGATCTGCACCACCATGGTGATCAGCATGGCCATGTTGAACAGGAACACCAGGCTGAAGAGGCCCAGGTTGGTGATGTAGCTGACCAGGGAGTCACGGATCCAGCACCTGGTGGGGGAAGGGAGGAGTCAACACACGGCTGGGTGGAGTAGCATGTCCCCCATTGAATTCTCAGTTTATGGAAAGTAGGGTTGGTGCCATTTCTTTGTAAAATGCATTCAATGAACAAGTCAGACAATTTAAAGTACTACGTAAATATATCAAGGGAGATGTTGGCAGTTCACACCTATAGTCCTAGCTACTCAGAAGGCTGAGATCCAGAGGATCATGGTTCAAAGCCAGCCCTGGGAGGAAAAGTCTGTAAGACTCCATCTCCAAAATAATGAGGAAAAAGCCAGGGTGAAGGCATGGTTCAAGTGGTAGAACACCAACCAAGCAAGCTGGAGGTCCTGAGTTCAAAACCTAGTACAGTCAAAGAATAAAAATTTTAAATGCTATCAAGCTGGAGACATAGCTCAAGTGGCAGAGCGTTTGCCTAAGTGTGAGGTCCTGAGTTCAAACTGAAGTGTAAATAATAATAAATATGATGATGGGAGCAGTGAGTCGCATGACCAGGCGTGTGGCTCTCCAGGATTCCAGCTTCCGGCTTCCCATATCCATGGGAGCCAGCATGCTGCAGTCCAGATCCGCCTCCCACAAGGAAATGGAGGCTCAGAGAAGAGCAGGTGCAAGGTCAGCTGGGCAGGAATAGGAACCGACCCAGGCCCCTGTCACCCCATCCCTTCCCCACACTCACATGGAAGGGTAGCTGACCCGCTCTGGAGTCCGGTGCACTGCCAGGATGATGGGGCCGTAGTTGTTCACGTCCACCAGAGCCACCAGCGTCACCAGGAAGACGGGAAAGCCTGAGGGTAGCAGAGGCTCATCATGCCCTCTCCTGAGGGAGGTCAGGGGAGGCAGGGAGGACCCTCTGGGGCCAGGGCTCCAAGTTGAAGGTTGAACCACCTTCCCCATTCCAGTGTGGCTGTCCCATAAAGGGAGGTCCTCCCCTAACTTTGTTCCCACCTCCATCCTAGAGGCCCAAGACAAAGGGCCTGAGATCCCTGCTGAGGTGGGAGGCAGACAGGACAGTTGGGGGTGGGGGGGAGAAGCGGGGAAATAGAGGAGGACAAATAGAGGAGGAAATAGAGGAGTTCTGAATAAGAAGCTGTCTGGGGTCAGACCTGGTCTATCAGGAGGGGAGAGGGGAGGCTCCCTGAAGGGGTCCCGCCTCCCACCTTGGGCCAGGCCCAGCCAATGAAGGAGCTCCCAGGACCTGCAGGGAGGTGAGCTGGGTGAAGTCAGAGTCCACGCTATGTCCCAAATGGCTCAAGTGTGAGTGCCTGGACATCATGGCTCAACCCCAGCTGGGTGCTCTTGTACAGTGGTGCCCAGCCAGAGCCCTTCTCAAAGAGGCAGCAGTGGGAGTACTTGAAAGTGTGTCTTGGGGCCAGGCCTGGCCCAGCCCAGGTGTGGGACCCCTGGGGACCGGTGGATGAAGGAAGCAAGGCGGCAGAGGAAGTTCTCGGGGGAGCCTCCTCCCCTCACTCACCCCAGCCCACGGCGCTCAGCTTGAGCAGGTAGCCAGGGACGTAGGTGCCGAAGACCTCGATGACGAGGCGGTAGAGGTTGTAGCCCTCCAAGCCCATCCAGGCCAGGCAGGCCAGCAGGGAGAAGTGCAGGAAGATGGCGCTGGCTCGGCAGGCAGCCTGGGAGCCTGACAGCGCGACCGGCTCACTAAGCAGGAAGCTCACGTCCAGCAGGAAGACAGCCAGGAGCAGGTTCATGTGCACCTTGATGGTGTAGTCTCTAGGTTTCCTCCTGCTGGGGGGGGGGAGTAAGGAAGATCAGGGGTGGGGTCAACTCCTCCTCCTCATCCCCCTTCTCATTCTCCTCACTCCTCATTCTCCTACTCCACTTCCTCTCCATCCCTCCTCCTCCTTACTCTTCATTGCTTCCTCCTCCTCTTCTTCCTCCTCCTCCTCCTCCTCCTTCTCCTTCTCCTCCTCTCCTCTTCCTCCTCCTTCTCCTCCTCCTCCTCTCTCCTTTCTTCTTCCTCTTCTCCCTCCTCTCTTTTCCTCCTCCCTCTTCTTCTTTCTCCATCTCTTTTTTTCCTTTCCCCTTCTTCATTTCAGGACCTGCCCAAGGCCCAGCAGGCCTACCTGGAGCACAGGTAGGCAGCAATGGTGAAGACGCAGGCCAGGGCAGAGATGACGCAGCCCACGTAGGACAGGAGCGTGAGGTAGTGCTTGTGGGTGGCGTCCACCTCCACTGAGGACACCTGGGCAGGGACAGGGGCATCTCAGCATCCCACCTCCATGGGGGTCTCCCTGGAGAGAGGCCTTTGTGCCCTCTTGGGTGAGGGGCCCTCTTACCACATGCATTCTTCTGGAAAGATCTGGGGCCCAAGTGTGACCTACACATATCCCCCCCCCCCATTTCACCAAAAGACCACTGCTCAGCCTGAATTACATTCCCCTTGACACTGGTTCCACTTAGGAGTTTCCAAGATCATATTGGTACAAGGGCCATAGGCAAGAGACAGAGACCATGTTTGGAACTTGAACTTGGCTTTTCTTAGCTACTAATGTCTCACTGCACTCACTTGAGGTGCTAGGCAGTGAGCCACAGCTGTGTTCCACCTACAAAAGCCACTGACACTGCCCCCACTTTTTATTGGCTCATTTTTTTTTGTGTGTGTGTGTGTGTGTGTGTGTGTGTGTGTGTGTGTGTGTGTGTGTGTGTGTGTATGTATTGGTCTGGAATTTGCAATCCTCTTGCCTCAGCCTCTAAAATTCTGGGATTACAGGCATACACCATCATACCTGGATGATGCACTTAAAATGGATGTTCAATTCACAATAGGTTCACCAGAATACAGCCCCATTATGAGTGGAGCAGTGTCTGCATGTTTCTATGACACCCAGCATGAAGATTGGTTTTCCGTGACAGAATGAGCTTCCCATGCCCAGAGGACTCTGGGAACATGAAGTTAGAGCAGGAGTTTCAGAGCTCCCAGAAACAATGGAGCCCACCTGAAGGGCCTCCATGCCGGGCCTCAGCCTCCAGGCAGGGGCCTATTAAAATCTCCCTGCCCCAGCCCTTGTAGTTAGGAGCAGGTGCCTGCATTTTTAATGTCAAAAATCTAGGAATAAGGAGCAACAGCCTTACAAACCAGCTCTTTCATTAACTATAAAATGGGACAAGGGGGTGAGCTCAGAGGAAAACATGGATTCAGAAGGAAGTTACTGCCTGAGTTGCTAAGCACAGGCCTGGCAGATACAAAGCCTGTGGGAGGTGGGGTGGGGGTGGGGGAAGGGACCCACCATCAGCACTGCGAAGTAGGTCAAGTGGCTGCAGAGACAGGACGTCTGAGTTTCTCCCCTGACAGTCTCACACCCATCGCTGCTCCAGCTCCCGGGGCTGCCGGCTGAGGGGACAGGGGGTACGGGCCCTGATCAGCTCACCTCCCAGGGTATCTCCCAGGGTAGGTCTTTGCATATCTGCCCACTGCCCCTCCCTCCACCAAGCCCAGCCCTCCAGGAAACCCCTGGGGGAGCCTCGCCTCTCCCATCCCCCTCTCAGGACCCTATTTCTCCAGACACTTGTGCACCCAGAGATCCCTCCAGACTCACGTGCTGCATCTTCAACCCAGAAAACGCACTGGAGGGTGATGTTGTTCTGTGGGGACCAAAGAGAAGGGGTATAAGCCCCTGTGGCTGCACCCCCTACTCACATGGGGAGGTCCAAGCCTCAGCCAGCAGGCAGCCTTACACTGAGAACATGTCAGCTGGGATGGGAGGCCCCGCCCCATTCTCAGGGACCCACCCACAAATAGAGGCCCTGCCTGTTCTGCGGCCCCGCCCCCTTGGAAGGAGGCCCTGCCCATTTCCAGGGCCCCTCCCCTAACCAGAGGCCCAGACTCTTGTCTGGACGCACTGTACCCAGGCTGCTGCCCATACTCACTGGCTGGGGCTGGTGCTGGAAGGTGAGCACCACCGGCTCTGAGAGGTTGGAGACTTTGGTGTCCTGAACAACGATGCCCAAGACCTTCTCGCCCAAGACTTGGCTGGAATTTTTGTCCTAGACATGCAGAGTTGGGGAAAGAAGACAGGGAAGGGCAGGGCTCAGCCTGACATCTGTGCTCAGCCTTGTCCCTCCTTTCCTTGGCACCTGCCGTGACTGAGGAGCCTCGGGCTTGGGGCACACAGGCCCTGGGCCCCACATGGTGGCCTGTAGCCCAGGGTTTCATGGGCCAGCTCTGTCTGTGGGAGACAGCTCCAGGGAGACCCCAGTGGAGAAAAGTCCAGAAGATTCCCTTGCCTCTCTAGACTCTTGTCATTCCCAGCATTCTCTGAGCGCCTGAGTCTCCCTCTGGAGCCAGTTTTGAGGTCCTGGGGCTTGCAGACAGGGCCTAGGCAATGTCACTGAGTTTTTATTTTGCTCAAGGTGAGCGCTCTACCACTTAAGCCACAACACCACTTCCAGCTTCTTTGGTGATTATTTGGAGATAAGAGTCCTACAGAATTTTCTACCCAGGCTGGCTTCAAACCCCAATCCTCAAATCTCAACCAAACTGCTGGCAAGATTTTCCTAGGACAGGCTAGGAGAGGAAGGCGGGCGGCAGGATCTTCCCGCATCTCTTCACCAGAGAAAAACTGACTCCAGGGAACGCAGCAAGGGAGGCACCCCAGTACCTGAAACAGAGCCTGGCTGCTGAAGTCCACCATGAGCAGTCTCTTGGCCGCCTCTCCGCGCCGGCCTTTGGTCTGCTGAAAGAGGGCGCGGGGCAGCAGCACGGAGTACTCCCGGACCTCACTCTGCTCCTCCTGTGCACGAGGGTTCTGTTAGGGCCCAGCCCAGAGCAGACTCTGGATCCAGCCTTTCCTGAGCTCCTTCTCCAGGAAACCAAGCCTGACATCTGCGCTCAGCCTTGTCCCTCTTTTCTTTGGCACCTGCTGTAACTGAGGAGCCTTGGGCTTGGGCCACACAGGCCCTGGGTCCCACATGGTAGCCTGTGACCCAGGGCTTCATGGGCCAGCTCTGTCTGTGGGCCATAAACTTTGCAGGGAGACCCCAGTAGAGACCCTGGAGCATGCCTCTCCTCTCCCCCACCAACAACCCACCTCCTGCCGGGAGTGGATGTGGAGGTCCTGGAGGCCGGCGGAAGGCCACAGCTTCCATATGGTGGCGTTGACTCGGTCCTCCTCAAAGGACACCTTGTCCCCCGGGAAGCTCACAGCGGCCAGCTTTGACTCCAGGCTCTGCAGCTGCCTGGTGGGAGGGCAGCACGGTGGATGATGGGGGGAGAGTGAGGCAGGAAGCTGGGCCTCAGGCAGGTACAGGGGTAGGACAGGCAGGGACAAGAGAAGGGGCAGCCTGGGCGGGATGAGGCAGCTAGGAGGCACACCCTGGGACTCAGCATGGACTCGTGGGGTGGTGATGGTCCCCCAGCCCTGGGGCGACACTTACTTGCTGGCCAGGGTGGCCGAGGGCCTCCTGGAGGCCTTGTGTGGCTGCTGCAGGAGCTGGCTGAGCCGTAGGAGGACACTCTTCAGCTCGCACATGTCCACTGAGGCTGATGTGTTGTGGGAGGCGTGATGGGGCTCTGCAGAGGGGAGAGAGACAGGCTGAGATCGTGACCGAGGGCCTTGCCCCCCCCCCCCGCCCCCTGATCTGCAGCAACTCTGTGCTCTGCCCCGCTTTGCCTGAGACCAAGGGTCCCAGGGGGCACACTGACTTCCCACGAGGCCTGCCAGGCAAGGCTCTGCCTAAGGGGTCCCTGAAGCAGCATCTGCCCCTCCTAGGGCCCTTCCCAACCTACCCGCCATCTGCCTCTAGCCTCCCTGCCTCAGCCTCCCCACCTCAGCCTCCTCCAGCCCCTGCTCCTCCCCCTGGGAAGCTCCTTACTATGGAAGGCGAAGGTGAAGCTGGAAGCCCCAGGCAGGCTGGTGTTCTCGGGGTTCCTCCAGGAGCTGATGGAGGTAGCCAGCAGTGGGGGCCCCTGCGCCTGGCTCTCCTGATGCCGGAAGCAGAGGAGGCTGGAGGCCTGGTCACTGAGCAGAAAATCATTCTTGCCATAACGCAGGTGGAACTTCCCAGACTGACGGCTCCAGTACAGGCAGAAGTGGTAGATGCCCCTGGGCTCTGGGAAGGCCCGAGAGGCCTCAGGGGCAGCGGGAAAGGGGGCCCGGATGGTGAGGGCCTCTTCTGAGTTGCTGATGGTGATCCGCAGCTCCGGCGTCTGCTCATACTGGAGGTCGCTCTTCTGGGTCTGGTTCCGCTGGCCACAGAAGCGGAAGTCTTCCCGGGGACCGCCACCGTGGGCACCTGAGGAGGCAGAGGCTGCAGGTGGGCTGTGGCAGGGACCGGCAGGGGCCAGGGGAGGGAACAGAATTTGAGCTTAAGAGTCTGTGAACCTAAAGCTTAGGACATGGTCTTATGGCCTCCCGTTCAAAAGCTCCACAGACATTTGTGTAAATCCTGCTATCAAAAAATATCCTGGATTCAAACTATGTCAAGAAAAAAATTAAAAAGAAAGCTATGATTCCAAAGGCAATGTATACTTTAGTAGCAATCAAGTATTTAATGAGGTAGGACGGCCATGGACAGTTGCACAGGCCGTGCACACCGACAGAGAATGCTTACCACAAGGCAAACTGGGCTGAAACCCAGTTCATGTTCCTCACCCCAACCAGCTCTCCATCACCAAGAAGAGGTAGGTGCCTTTCTAATTTTCTCCACGGTTCCCTTCACCTGCTAAGCTGTGTCTGCACCCCTGCGCCTGCCCAAAGGCTGGCAACAGCTGCCTAGATATAAGGGTGTTTGCCGAAAGTCACAACAGCCCCAGGCCCCAGGAAATGCTACCTTGCACCAGGAAGAGCAGACTCAGTAGGAACAGCGCCGCCTGCTGAAGCACCTGGACAGCCATGGTTGTCCCCAGAGATGTCACCACCTGGAAGAGACCTAAGCGTTAGCTGGAGCCTGGAAAGCAGGGTGGCTAGGCTAGCCCAGCAGCTGACAAGAATGGCCAGAGGCTAAAAATCAAGAGGTTGTGCCAGCACTGGTGGCTCACGCCTGTAATGCTGTCAGACACTGGCTTCCGTGAGCCATCTGAGGACTTATGTGCTGTGAGGTTGAGTATGCCAGCATGCATAGCCTCGAGGAGAAGGAGAAAAACTCCTTAACAGTCTGGGCAACAGTCTGGATGCCTGACCATAAGCCTCTTGGTGCTCCTCTGAATAACCCCATAGACAATGCCTCCCTTTGTGTGTCTAAGATAGCTCACCTGCACTTTGCTTGTTCTTCGTAACCTTTGATCACGTAAAACTGCTTCATATTTGTTGACAAAGATTAACTTCTCCTGTTTACTGACTACAGATTAACTCCCATTGTCTGCACATATGTAAGACTGTTTAAGATTAACTTTCTGTCTCCTGACTGAAGATTTACTTGCCTTGCCTGTATGCTGTATATAAGCATGTGGTGCTTTTAATAAATTTTGTCTATACCCGCATGGTGTGGTCCACTCTCTGCCTACCAGACATTGGATTCCTGGGTCTCGCTGTGTGAAAAGCAACAAGTGGTGAACAACCAGGACTTGGAGCAGTTCTACTAGAAAGATGTGGTGTCCCATAGAAAGAGGTAAGTGGGAATTTTTTTCATTATGGGACAGTCAGGAAGCCGAGCTCAGCCTTTTGTTGATTTAGTACACCACCTTCTTAAGAAAAGGGGGGCAAAATTGTCCAAGACACAACTTCTGGAATATAAACCATGGCTCCCCAACAAGGGAACTTTGGAAAAAGAAATATGACGGAGAATTAAAACCAATGTAAGAAGAGCTCCTAGGCCAGGAGAACATATAGAAATATTAAAAGATGAAAAAGAAACTGTAGATCAGGAACAAAGTGTAAAAAGATTACTGCATCATTTTAAAGAGAAAACTTAGCTAAAAGGATTTCTGTTCTGGTTATGGCATGTCACATGTCTCTGTGTTCCTGTCCTGTTTCCTGTCTACTGAAAAGTTTTTTGTTGTTGACAAAGGTTTGTTTTTATAACTGACCACATGGTTCCATCATAATTTGGCAAAATAATGCTGCTAAAGTTCCCCCCCCCAAAAAAAACCTTAAATGGCCAATATTAAAATCTAAGCATGCTCTATGATTTGTACAAAACATAACTGTCTGTCTATTTGTGAAATAGGTAAAAGGGTCATGGTTTCAAAGTTATCAAATATTCTGCTTGCTAAAAGATCTTTGTTAATGGGAGCTATGATTTACTTTGAGTTGCCTTGAAAAGTCTGAGATTGCCTGACTACAAGCCTCAGGCTGCATTTTCTCCCTGTGGATGCTGCGGGAAGGGAGAGTGTAAGATGGCTGTGAACTTGGTTCAGACATTTGGCTGGTCATGGCAGTGTAAATAGTTGTAAGGTGCTCTTGTTTAAGATTGGACAGAGTCAGGCCAGTTTAGTTTCAAGTGACCCTCACCCAGCCTTCACCAGCTGAAGGTATTCAAAAGGCCAGTTGGTAAAATGCCTGGCAAAACAAGCAAGCCTTGGAAAAAATAAAATTATGGCCTGGAAAAGGCACTTTGTTAAAAGGTATCACCTTAAATTTTTATCATCTGGAATAGTAAGATAGGAAAAAGGTCTCTTGTCACTGAAGATTTCAGAAAGCGTATGTACAATTGATTTTCCTTTTTTGTGCGCTTTAATATCTGTGTGTGTGTTTGAATGTGTGTGAACATATTTAAGATGGAAAACTGTCAGCATGCTATAAATATTTAAGTGAATTAAAGTTTAAAATTCACAAAGGTTATGAAGTTTGGATGCTGCCACAAGTTTTAAAGAATTATTGCATTGTTTTAAAGGCTTTCTAGGAATTTTTAAATTTGAGAATTAGAAAAATCTGGTATTTTAAAATCTGGTGTTTTAAAATGCCTAAGGTGGTTTACACTGTAATCACATTATCTTGCTTAGCAAAGAGGCATTGGAGATTTGGGATTTATTTCCCTCGGCTAAAATTTGGGGTATTAGAATTTAAATGTGATGGTTTACTTAGCACTGCTAAAGACTTCACCTGTTCTGATTGTCTAAAACTGCTTGGTATTTCAGTTAAGAACCAAAAGAAAAGGAAAGGGAATACTTAGGATGAGCCCATAGAAAACCTGTTGGTGAGGGGTGACCAGGCAGAAGTGCAGCTCAGAGATCCCATGCATGGTGGGAGAGGGCAAGCTGGCACAAAGGCAGTTCATCTAATACTAACGGGTCAGATGAGTATCAGTCCATTCCATAGGAGGGACCAAGTAGCTTATCTTTGTCCCGTCTCTTTCCCTTGCAGCTGGACACTAGAAACCTGGTGGTAAAGTGAGTGATGTGATGATGTGATTGGTGTTGCTAGAACTGCCCCTCAGATATATTAAAAAATAGGGGAAAAAAGGAGGGGTAAAAGATTATTTGTGTGATAGAATTTGGTTTTAATGCTATTTTGCAGTTGGATATGTGTTTTAAAGGACAAAAAAGTATTGAGTCTAGATTTTTGGTATTGTGCTGGTGATTGTAATTTTTGCATTAAGGAAAAAACTGTTGTCTGAATTCAAAGGGTTTCTAAAAGGGAATTTAGATTGAAAAATAAATAAATAAAATATATTTGCTGTAAAACAGGCAGTCCAAAAGAAATGGGTGTTACTAAGCCCCTCAAGATTTCAAGAGGTTCTTTAAATGGAAATGAAAACTGAAGTATAAAGTGCTAAAGCAGAGGTTAGTCAAAGGCTTTTAAAAATCAAGAATGGATTCTGGGATATGAAATTTGGAAGTAAAATTGTCTTAAATGTTTCAAAGCGGAAAAAGAAAACATTAGGACTATTAAAATGATAGTTTAATTGCTATTTTAGTTTGCCCTTATAAACTTTTGGTAAGTTTCCAGAAGGCTCACAGAGAACAGAGGAATCTTACAGATTTGTCAGATGTAACTTTAGCCCTTAATAAGTTCCCGGTAAGAACATGCTTAAAAAAACTACTTCCAAGCTGGGCACCAGTGGCTCTCACCTGTAATCCTAGCTACTCAGGAGGCTGAGATCTGAGGATTGCCACTCAAAGCCAGCCTGGACAGGAAAGTCTGTGAGACTCTTATCTCCAATAAACCACCAGAAAACCGAAAGTGGTGCTGTGGCTCAAGTGGTAGAGCATTAGCCTTGAGCTGAAGAGCTGAAGGACAGTGCCCAGACCTAGAGTTCAAGCCCCGTAACTGACAAAACAAAAACAAAACAAAAAACAAACAAAAAAAAACTACTTCTATGTTGACCATCTTTCTTGCTTTTAATTGCAGTAAAGTGGCTTGTATAAGACCCATTGATCTGAAAACTGCAGTTCAAAGCCAACCTGGGCAGAGAAAGGCCCCTGTGAGATTGTCATCCCTAACTGGCCAGCAGAGCACTGAAAAAGCAGGCAGAGTTTCTTTGGAGCTCAAAGTGGCAGAGTGCTAGCCTTGAGCTGGAGAGCTGAGGGACAGTGCTCAGGCCCTGAGTTCAAGTCCAGTGACCCACCAAGGAAAATGCTAACGTTATATAAAGTAAGCTAAGGTTATAGGTTCCTAGCATCCCTGAGTCAATTTGAAGAAGTTACAGAAGATGGACTTTTGCCCATCAGCCCCTTTTTAAGATCAAGGGACCAGAGTCATTTCTTTGAAAAAAATGAGGCAGGATAAAAAAAAAAAAAAGCGGTATAGAAATAGTGATAACAAGTGTGTAAGAATAAAGGATTACAGGCCCAAGACTTCTATGTCTGCCTAGGAAATCCTAGCCTTATTTAAAAGAAATCTGGTTAGTAAAAAGCTGATAAGTTACCTGATTAATTACTTTGGGGCCACTGCCTAAAAGGTAGCCTTAAAAGCCAGTGGGATGCCAGCCTATAGAAGCAGGAAAGTACCAGAGGATTTTACTACAGTCAGGCCCTGGATAAAACTTCTTTAATGAGTCTATGTAGAAATTTACAGACTACCCAGCAAGAATGTGACTTATTGCATACTAATGCCAAGCATTTACACGCTTATTACCATATTTCCTTTCACCAAGCCCAGGCCATTGTTCAACACTATGATGTTTGTGCCCCATTACATTGTTCTTCCCACTCAGCCAGTGCAAACCCACGAGCAGGTTCCAGTAACGTTTTGTGGCAACTGGATGTTACTCATACTGCTGTATTTCCAAAGCAACCTTATTTACATGTTGTTGTAGATACCTTCTCTTCCTTCATATGGGCAGTGCCCATGTCCTCAGAATCAGCCAAAGCAACAATTACCACATTTAAACTTACTTTTCCTGTCATGGGACTTCCTCGTGCTATAAAAACAGATAATGGTCCCACTTATACAAGTAAGGGCTTTGCTGCCTTTTGCAAGGAATGGCAAATTAAACATATCATTGGCATTCCGTATAATCCTCAAGGCCAGGATATTGTGGAACAAGCCCATAAAACACTTAAGCTTCAATGATTAAAAAACAAAAAAAGGGGGAATCCCAAGGGAACTTCTTGCCTGAACCTTATTTACTTTAAACTTTTTAAGTTTACCTCCAGGTGATCCTTATACTAGAGCTGAAAAGCATTTTACCTCTCCAGCTCCATCTCAATAGCATATTCCCATATGGTTTAAAGAATTTGATCAGGGCTGGGAAGGTGGCTCAGTGGTAGAGCACTTGCCTTGCATGCCTGAGGCCCTGGGTTTGATTCCTCAGCATCACATAAGCAAAAAGAAAAAAGCCGGAAGTGGTACTGTGGCTCAAGTGGTAGAGCGCTAGCCTTGAGCTGAAGAGCTGAGGGACAGCGCCCAGGCCCAGAGTTCAGGCCCCACGACCGGACCCCCCCCCCCCCAAAAAAAAAGAATTTGATCAATGGAAACCAGGACTAATGACCCATAGTTGGAAAGGGTATGCTTCTAGCATTCCAGATGGATTCACCAACAACATATAGCTTCCTCTTTGGCTCATCTGACCCCAGAGAGATGAGAACAGTATAACCTAAACCTGAGAAAGAAGAATTAGCATGCCATTTTGTAGGCCTAAACGTGAAGACCCAATACCGCCATCATCCTTATCACAAGAAAACTAGCCAGACACTGCCACACCAACAGATTAAGGCATTGTCAGACAAGGGAGAAGCCATTCTGGTCAGTGCTAAAAGCCCTAGAATACCTGAACATCTGTTTTTGACCATAGATGCACTGCTTACCTGTAGTGAACATGTGTATCGGGCCTACATCCCTCACCCACCATTGTTAAGATTAGTGGATTGGCTAGATCAAGGCTCAGTGATATATACTAATGACAGTGTGTATTTTCCCTTTCTGTGGGACTTTGGAGGTCCTACTCATCCAGCTGAGGAAGGAACACACTAAAACATATGCTTAGGATTTGAGTCTTTACCACTGTGTTTGGGGGTACTCCCTTGTTTACAATCAAAAGACAGGTATAGGTATACATTTTGCCTGACGATAAGATCACTGATCATATGGGGCTATTCAGTACACTTTCCTTAGATTTTATTGGTCATCATTCTCATACAAATAACACTGGATGACCTGCCAACCCTGTATGTCAGGGCATTAAATATTGGAATTAGGTTTACATTCCTATTCAGTGGCCTCAGTGCTGTAGCCCTAGAGGAAAAAATTACACAGCATAATAATAATATTTCATTTATAGCTTGGGGCCCCCACGGGCATTTCATCGCCAATTGTTCTGAAAGACACGTTGATGATCGGTGTACCAGTAATTCTTCTTTCGATGGTGCTGATACAATGGAATGATAAATCATGTGGAACCCACTGGTTTGCTTACCTGGCATGATGGAGGCCTTGCATCTCCTAGGCCACGTATAAATTTTAAGGGATGTTTGGGCCCTGAACAGTGGCATTTATGGAAACTTGCGGCCCCATTTCAAATAACTCAAAGTTGGATTGGTCATTTTATTAGAACCTGCCTGGCAAACTATACGTTTTATAGGAATCACTTTTTTTTTTTTTTTTGTACAGGCTTGTGTTAAACTTCCTTATGTATTAGCCATAGGAACTGTGTCAATTAATGAAACTTTGTGTAGCTTGGATTGTTTGGTCAGCTCTTTACATGTTTAAATCACACTATTCCTTTCAACATGTCTTCTCAATCCCTCCTGGTATTACAATCTCCCTTAGGGGTCTGGGCACCTGTTAACCTCACCCAACCTTGGCCAGAGAGCCCTGCTATAGGTTTACTGACAGGAGTTTTCCAGCGACTGTTGAAAAGAACTAAGAGGTTTCTGGGCATGATTATAGCCGCAGTGATGGACGGATTGCTATAACCGTGGCTGCTGCAACCGCTGGAGTGACTGCATACCACCGTCCAAACCAAGGACTTCGTAGAGAAGTGGCAGCGGGATTCTCCTCAGCTGTGGACTCATCAGATAGATACTGAACAGGACATTGAATCCCGCTTAAACACCTTACAACACGCAGTCCAGTGGCTGGGAGGCCAGCTAATTGAGGTACAGAAACTAACCTTTAAATGTGACTGGAGTTCAACAAAGCTGTGTTACACCCGCCCACTTCAACACTACTAACTTCACTTGGCAGGGACTTTGACACCACCTGCAGGACTTGTGGGGAAATTTGTCTTGGGTCATACATCCACAGCAACAAGTCACTGAGACTTTCTCGGCACAGCTCCCTGAGGTGGGATATGATGGCTTAGCTGAAGGCATAGTATCTGTATTAAATCAACTAGATCCTCATACCTGGTGGCAGAGTTTTACCCATCGCGCTTTTACAGGATTGATTGTATTGTGTCTTACGAAGTTTGTGCTCTTTGCACACCGCTGTCTCCATTCCAAAATAGCTAAAGCATCCCTTTCACAAAAGAACCTCATGCTTGCTGTACTACATTTAACAAAACAAAAAACAAAAAAGGGGGAGATGTCAGAGACCCCAGCTCCCATGATCCCATCTGAGGACTTACGTGCTGTGAGGTTGTGTATGCTGACATGCACAGCCTTAGGGAGGAAAAAAAAAAACCTTCAAAGTCTGGGCAACATCTGGATGCCCAGCCATAAGCCTCAAGGATGGCATGCAGAACGTGATCTCCAGGCTCCGCTGAATAATCCCATAGACAATGCCTCGAAACTCCCTTTGTGTGTCTGATAGCTCACCTGGACTTTGCTTGTTCTTTGTAACCTTTGATCACTTAACACTGCTTCACTTTTGTTGACAAAGATTAACTTCTCCTGTTTACTGATTACAGATTAACTCCCATTGTCTGCACATACGTAAGACTGTTTAAAATTAACTTTGTCTCCTGAAGATTTACTTGCCTTGCCTGTATGCTGTATATAAGCATGTGGTACTTTTAATAAATTTTGTCTATACTGCATGGTGTGGTCCACTCTCTGCCTACCAGACACTGTGTTCCCAGGTCTCGCTATGTGAACAGCAACAATTACCCAGGAGGCTGAGATCTGAGGATCAAGGTTTGAGGCCAGCCTGGGCAGGAAAGTCTGTACAAACTCTAATTTCCAATTAGCTACCAAAAAGCTGGACGTGGAGCTACAGCTCAAGTGGTAGAGTACCAGCCAAGAGTGACAAAGCTAAGTGTCAACACCCAGGCCCTGAGTTCAAGCCCCAGTACTGGCACAAAAAGAAAAGAACCAAGCAACCAAGGCTGTCCAGAGTTCACTGAGTAAGAACTATAGCTTTCTCTCTCTTTTCTACTGCAAGGTGTGGGGTCAGTTGCTCAGTGTAGGGGCCAGAAGTGGTGGGAAACTTGTCCAGCATCCACCTGGCCCTACCCCTGCGAGGTCTGGAGAAGACACCAAACAAGTTCTCCCCTAAGATTACACCCCATCATCCCTGAGACAAGGATTGGCCACGGGTCCTGTCAAGTCAGCCAGGGAGCTTCTGGCCACCTCTAAGGTCAACACTCTCTATGGGAACCATAGGGAAGTGTGCTTCCCATTAGAACCACTAGGGGGAGCCATTGGCCAGGGCCTGCAGATGAGGACCAGGGGGCGTGGCCAGGGGGGCCAGGCCCAGGGAGGCGTGGCCAGGCCAGGGAGGCCCCTCTCGCCCTGCTGCCTGGCTAAGTGGCACCTCTGTTCTCAACCTCTGCCATCAGGAGCACCTGTGTTTACCAGGCTGCCCCTGCCTGGTAAAGGACTGACTTTCCCCGCGGCGCTTGGTGCTCCACAGACATGCCAGTGGCTCCATCCTCCCTAGCATCGCGTCCACAGTAACCAACCTGGGTGCTGACAGTTTAGAACAGCCACCCTCATCTTGTGGGCAGCTGGGGCTCGCCGTGGAGACAGATGCAGTCATCTGCTACAAGCCAGGCAAAGGGAAGCCTGGCAACCCCAGGACACGCAAGGATCCAAGTGTGGAAGAAATCGAGGTGGGCTTCCCGGAAGAGGTGGCTTCTGAACTTCGTATTTGAGGGTGGCAGTAAAGGGGGACCCAAGCAGGACCTCGCTGGCCCAGGACTCCCTCCAACCAACCTGGCCTCTACACATCCCAACATGAAGAATGGAGCCTTGGAGTCCACTCACAGGTGGATGGGGCCTGGCCCTGCTCTGGTGGCATGCTAGGCCCTCTAAGGAGCACATGAAGGCGTTTTAGGGAAGGGCGCTGTTTCCTGTGCTGTGATTTTAAGGTTTCACTATGTCTCCTCTCTCAGTGTTGGGGGTCCCTGTCAGACTGCTTCCCGCCACCTCGGATCAGCGGAAGGAAGCCCAGCATTGGGCATGGGGGTGTCTCACACAGCCCCTCCTTCCTTTTCTTTCCGCAGCCCATCACTAGCCACCTCTGCGCCACAGCCCAGACGTCACTTCTTCCAGACAGTTCCCCTCCTGCGTCCTTGCTCTATGTCTGGGAACTTGTCTGGGAGGTCATTGGGAGAATCTGCTCCACTGGCCCAGCGAGGGCCAGGGACCGCCTTAAGTCACACAGCAAGCAGCAGGAAGTGACTAGAACCCGTGGATCAACCTCGCCCACTGACCTTCACTGAGTCACTAGGGTTGACAGACACGGCCTCAGGATAGGGCTGAGGTTATCTATCTGCCTTGTACCAACCCTCCTGGGTTACCCCTAAACAAAACAGGGTATGGAGTGAGATCCTCATCACAGGCCACCATGGAGCACCAAGGAAGGAATTCAAGCACACACAGGGGCCTCCTTCTGTTCCCCTGGCTGTGTGAGCAGCCAGTCCAAGGGCAACTCTGCCCATTAGTAACGAGGGGCCACCAGGAGCCTCAGCCCAACCTTAGTGATGAGGAGTCTGGGGACAGACTGCCCAAGTTCAAATTCCCCATTTGCTAGCTGTATGTCCTTGGGCTAGTTGCTCACCCTCTCTGGGCCTGATTTGCCTCACCTATAGAGAGGAATGAAATTGAGTCCAGCTCCAGCTGAGGTCCCTGTGGGAATTTGGGGACAGGAAAGGGCTTCAGCGGGGCCTGGCCCTGCCCGCCATGGCCCCCTTCCACGCGGCCCGCGGCCGTGGCCAGCTCAGCCCCTGGGGGGAAATTCCTGGAGCATGAGGCCTACCTTCCGGTGCTGGGGAAGATGTTGACCCCACCCAGAAAACTTCCCTCCTCAGATGCCCCAAGTGGCCACGGACCCAGGTGGGGACGGGGAACGCCATGCAGGGGACACGGGGGTGGGGGGAGCACTTTTAGCACCCCAGGCCGGGCAGTGTCACCTATGGAGCCCCCCTCCCCCTCCCAGGGTCTGCCACCTGGCCCAGCGCAAAGGAGGGGGCTGTGCTCTGGAGACTGAACCCTAGAACCAGGAATTCAAGGTGAGCCCTGGCCTCTGGCACAGGACCGGGGGACCGGGGGGGGGGGGGGGGGAAGGCATCCATGGGGCCACATCACAGCTTCACGGACCTGGACCCAGGACACTTGTTTGGGAGGATTGTTGGGGCTCAGCAGCACCCCAACAATCACAGCAGCAGTCACTTCTACAGAGGTTCCAGCAAGACCATTTCACTGGCGGGGAAACTGAGGCAGGGAAGGTCACACAGGGATGGTGCCTCCCTCCTGGTTGGCCTTGGCAAAGGTCCTTAAGGAGCATGATGCTGATTTGGGGGGATCTCTTTAAAGACAAGTGGGGAGCAGTGACAATTATAGGCACATGGAACCGGCTGGGGGGCAAGGCCAAGCCCCTCAGAGGCCCCCGGGCCCCCCTTTCCGGGGGAGAGCCACCCCTGACCTCGGCCTTCCGTAAACACGCACAAAGAACAGAACGGGCTGTCCAGTCGGATACAATGGGACCTGCCGGGGATCCCCAAGGGCTCCACAGGCCGGAGGAGAGGGAGGAAGGGGCCGGCCAGGCCGAGCCGCCCCTGTCCCCACCCCAAGCTGGGGCCCGGGAAAGGCCTCGGCTCTGGGCTCTGCGTGGTGGGCAGGGAACCCGGCCTGGGCTCACTGCGCCCCCCCCCCCCAACATTGACCTGAGCCACTTCCTCTGCCATCCTGCACAGAGCCCCAGTCACCGGCCACCAAGTCACGGCTGGCTCAGGAGCAAGCGCGAGCCTGGAAAAGCCATTTCCTTGCGGATGGAGGTGGAAGGGGAGCGGCTGGGCCGGACCCGGAGGGCTCTGGGTGACCCTCCCTGGAGGGGGAAGGGCTCTCCTGGGTCCAGCCAGACCTGCTCCCCTGTTCCTTCCCGCTCTGCCCCACGCATGCACGCGTTGCCTGGTGTGGTGGCAGGCAGCCCTGAAGGTCTTGAAGAGCTGAGCTCCAAGCCCCCAGTCTACCCCACCACCACCAGGAGAGTCCAGCAGGGGCCCCAGAACACAGCAGCACCCACAGTCTGGTGGGTAGGTTGTGGGAGCAGAGTTCACAGCTGGGGAGACGCCAGTGGCAGAGGGGAGAAGAGAGGGGCCCTGCCAGGACACAGAGCTCTAAAGGCCGGAGCCTGGGCCAGGCCCAGCTGCCCCCTTGGCCTGCTCCAGTCCCACTGAAGGACAAGGACCCCAGTCTCTCTGGCCTCCAGCATGGGGCTGCTCACTGGGCACTGAGGTCATCTCAGGAAAGAGGGAAGAGAGTCCAGGAAGGGAGGAGAAGGGAACCCCAAAAGCATGTGAACACGCTCAGGATGATCCAGGCACACAGGGGCCTGCAGGGAACCACAGGAAGGGAGCAGGCTAGCGCTCAGGGGCCAGGCAAGGGGGCCGCGAGGCAGGCATGGAGTGGGATCCAGCAGGTGCTTCCTGCAGGAGGGGGTGAGAGGAGCACCCTCCCTCCAGCGGTTTCCAGAGGTGGTTATCAGAGTGTTCCATTCTTGGAAACACCACATACCCAACAGCTTGGAGGAGATGCCCACCGCACCAGGCGGGACCAGGGCCAAACCTCTTCCGGCATAACCCAGCACCCAGCCCAACATTCACACCCCCCCCCCCCCCGCAACTCAGCACAGCACTCGGCTTGCAAATGCCAAGCCTCATTCTCCCCGATGTCCCCCCCCCACAACTGATGACTAATGCCCAAGCAAGGTGACCCCAGAGAGCCGGCCCCCACGGAGCACGATGCTCTGCCCACTCCTCGCCCCCACCCCGAACCACTGACCTCAGGGCTTAGGAATTTCTCTACACTAATAGATAATAAAAATCAAACCCGCACCCTCCCCGGACGCTGGCGGTGCCCCTGTCTGCATTCTTATGCTAACCATCTACTGGGCACCCCGCCAGCACGGGCTTCATGTCCCAGTGCCAAATCCCAGGATGTGCTCCACCTGCCCAGGCAGGCCCTGGCCTGTGGGGAGCCTGAGGAAGGGAGGAGAGATGGAAGCCATACCTTTACCCCCTCCACCCAGGACCTGGCACGGAGAAGAGCCAGGCTGAGTTCTGGCAGTGCCACCAATGAGCTTCGGGTCTCCTGGGGACTTGTCCAGCACCGCAGAAAGAGTCACAGGCCACCTTGGCAAACGCCAGCCAGTGTCCAGCACAGCACAGTCCACACATGGCCCAGCCAGTCCAAAGCAGCTCACGATCGCCCAGCAACTGTTAGCCATGATTCTGCCCAAGGGTGCCTAACCTCAGAGCCCATGAGCCCAGCCACTGTGGTCCACTGAGTTCCTTCCCCTTGTGGGGGCCAGTCTCCCCATCTTTACCATGAGGGAAGTGCCACTACTCCAGAGTAATACTTCAGGCCTTACTTTCTCTTGCAAAGGCTCTGATAAAGCCTGCAACAAGGAACCATGCAGAGCTTGGATGGGCTGTCTCCCAGCCCACTGTAATGAATGCATAGACACCCAGCATCCACGTGAATAAACAGCCTCTCAGATACCAATGGATAGAAGCCTGCCCTCCACTCTGAGCTATCCCTGAGGCTGCTAGCCAGCTGATAGGGGCCACAGGAGCCATTGAGGTGGCAGTGTCCC